TTCATCAATACCTTTACTAAATTTCTTTCACTATTTTTAAGTATCATAATTGTTATTATCATTATCACAATATTAAAACTGACATATGAATTGCATTAGGGAAGAAGTCTCTGGCTTTAATATTGGATTTGTAAGATAGGGTCAAGAAAAAATAAGAGCTTTGAAATTTTCAAAATTTTAGAGGTTTGAATGAAAATCAAAGATGTACCATTTTTATAAATGCACTTCTCCTATTCCAGCAAAAGATTTAAAGAAAAAACGTTGCAGCCATTTTCCAGAAACTGTTAAAAATGTCACAGAGGCTTCTTGTTAAGCGTCCCCAAAAGTTAAAATATATTTATGATAATCAGAATGGCACAATTTCTGATATACCTATTTACCAAGGTTCAACTCAAAAGCTTCAAATCTGACAGTTTTGTAACACATCTGTCTGTCTAGTCCACCTGATTTTCAGGTACAAAATTGTGCATATCTCCTCAACATCTGCACAAAACGTAATCATCTTTGGTTCAGCACTAACAGATCTTAACCATGATATGTGTGTTTGTGTGCAAATTTACAGCTCAAAAAAAAAAACTTAAATACACATTTAATGACCAAAAATTGGAGATTGTTTTCTTGATCGGTTGCAATATTTTTTTTTTTCCCTTACCCTACTTTATAGGTTTGAAAAGTAAAAAAAGTTAATCTATTTGATATTATTAGCAATTAAGACAACACACTTGTGATGGACATTTTTAAAAAAGATAGCATCCTTAAAGTATTTCACCAAAATATTCAATACATTCACAACAAAATTGAAGTTTGATACAATACTAAAAGAAACTTTTATACAAGTAGGAGTCATTACTGAACATGGTCTTAAGTACAATGAAATTAACTCCAACTGTAAACTTTGAGTTTTTCCAACTATAAACTTCGTGCTGTAGGGAATTCAATAAACATGGCGGTATTGCAATAAAAGTGCAGAGTAATTTAATTCGCAAATAAATACACTGAATAAGAGATACGAGAATCGAAAAGACCTTCGAAGGTGTAAATGTAACCAAAATGAAAGGGAACATAAAATCATTGGTACCTACAGATTCCAAAATTCTAGTGTTAATGACTTTCTATTCAGATTTGAAGAACTATTAACTATGCTCTTAGAAAATCATAATTATAATTTAATTATTTTGGTTAATATTTTCAATATTAGCATTAATATTGAACATAATGAATTACATGATTTAAAAAAAAGAGTTCAATCTCAATGACGTAGTGTGAGGGCCAACACGTGCCACAACCCTTTCCAGCTCTACTATAAATCACATCATTACAAACATTGAAAAAAAAATATTCTAAAATATTCTTCTTTCAATATGGATTTTCATCTATCTGATCACACTGCACAAATCATTGAAATAATCAATTGGCCTGTTCGCCACGAGCAACCTAAATACACATTTTCCCATGATACAAACAATACTAAACTACAATTGCTAAATAAATGTCTCCTAAAAGAGGAATGGACTGAACTACTCACTGGTAATGAGATCAATGAGAAATGGAACTTGTTCTTGAGTACATTAAATATCATTTGAAAATTGCATGTACCATTATTAACAGGCAAATTAATGTAGTGAACATACCCTAAATCAAGCTTCCTAATGAAACAAGTATGACCTGCTCAAAGAAACTAAGAATCCACATTATAACGAGAAATACAAGCAGATTAAAAACCATTATAGTCTAAATTTAAGACTAAGAAAGCTTATCAATTAAATCATAAAGTTCAACAAAGAAATCTAAAACATTGTAGAACAGAATTTAAAATGGGAAAACTGACACTCACTAAAGCATATACTTCCTACATGAAGGCATGTTTTTGATACTCCTTCTGATATTTGTGGGACCTTTAACCATCATTTCTTAAATTTAAAGCAGGACATGGTATCCAGTAATACTAATAATCCTATATCTTCTAGAACTTAAAAATTTACGTTTCTCCATCACACGAATGATTTGGAAGTTAATAAATTGATAAATTCCTTCAAAAATAGTTGCTCATCTGAGAATGATGAAATATCTCCAATCAGTCTTAAACTATGTAATCCTGCTCTTCTTAACCAATTAGTTTATTTAATAAATGTATCTCTATCTGTATTCACTTTTCCAGTATCTCTAAAAATTAGTATTGTGAGACAACTTTCTATGAATAATAATAACCAAATTGTTAGGAATCATCGACCTACAACCGTAACTTCAGTATTTGGCAAACTCAAAAGTTACATTAGCAAGACTTGATTGTTTTCTTGAATCTAATAATATTCTTAATAATTCACAACTTGGCTTCAGGAAGGGCTTCTCCACCACCACTGCTGTTGTCGAATTCATACATGAAATCATTGGAAATTTGAAATCAAACAAGGAAAACAGCAGGTATATTCATTGATCTCTAAAAACTACTCCAAATTTTTTCTTTAAACTTTTGATAGGGATAGTACTAAATGAACTATATTCAGTCACATACACGTCATTTTGCCCAATTAATTTGTTTTTTCAAAAATTAGAAAAATGTAATTTTTTTGACTGACATCTCATGTTGTTAATACTTACATTATAAGTGATTCATTCACATTCTTGCATTTACGAATACATGTGCTTTAAATGATGTCTTATCAAGTTTCTTGAAATCCGAAAATATTTTTGTAAAAATGAGACAGCTCAAAATTTTGCATTTTCATAAATGCACAAAAGCTATTTTCTCAAAAAACAGTTCTAAATTTTTTCTTCAATTTTCAGTTCCTTGCATGCAGCCATCTCAAAGAGAATTTTCACTGTTCCAAATTCCATTTCACTGTTATTTAATTTGTATAATGTGATTTGGAAGGATAAGCTATAAAGATCAAGAAAAAGAAAGCATAGAAAGCACCAGAAGCGAAGGAAATGTTAGTTTAGTTTCATGAAGGTTTGTGCCAAGGTAATCGCTTCTATAAATAACTTAGGCTTGTCTTCAAAAGTAGAAAGGCTGAATTATGATTGTACTGGAATTTAAAAGTACATTTTCAATATAATGGTTATTAAAACAACGGCAAGACTTTGAAGGTTTTGCAAATGAAACCAAAAATTTTTTAAGTCCTATTTGTGGTCATATTTTCATATTTTTGAGGTCATAAATGCTTGCATATTTCTAATATTTATAGGTCATAAACATCCGAGCCCAAGTAATTACATTTCATTGAACATATTGTAAGCACTTAAATTCATTATTAATATCTAATATATTCAAGTAATTGTACAAGTTGTATTTTGTGTATTTCGTACAACAGTTTTGAGGCATTGTTGTACTCATCATTAGGCTATAAAAAAATAATAATAGTAAACATTTTTTAAAAATAATTTTTTTAAGGTAATAATGAGCAATTAGCTAAAGAATTAACAAAATTAAAGTTACTTTACAAGAATTCATTACAAAAACTAGATAGTATCTAAATAAGAAATGCATTAAAATTAATAATTACTCAGTATAAGTTGTATAGCGCTTATCTTCCACAAAATAGGTCTGATCCAAATTAAAGGGCAAATTATGAAACTATATAAATTACATAATTAAACAGACATAAGAATATTAAATAATTTTATTAGTTTCATCACAGACTACTTGATACTTACTATAAGCCAATAAGCAATAAAATATTATTATTATACGAGGCATAAATATAATTAATAAGCTGCGGATTAATAGGCACCAAACTGTAGAAATAGGCAGGCAAAGTAGGTATTTAAAAGTGTAAAATTGGTATTTAAAAAGGCACTATGCATTTCTCTTACCCTTATTTATGAACTTGTGTAGAAAGTTTCTGGAGTAAATATAATATGGAATGTTTGCTCTCATCATTGTTCTAACAAATTCTTGTAGAAATCCTTTCTTTCATTGCTGGGCGATTCAGGCAAAAAGGCTGAATCACAGAGGCTTCCTTTTTGCTTTTGACACTGCAATCTGACACTAATGCTGCATAATACATTTCTTTTTCTCACTTCTAATTTAAACATAATTGAAAATCTTTTATGATTTGTTTTAATTGCCATGCATAGCACAAATGTACCTAGTGGTGTTACAAAAGCACATACCTTCTTGCATTATGTCTGAAAAAACATTCAATCAAAATTTGCAATTTTCAAAAAGTCAATAGTTCAATGAAAATAAAACCTGCACCATTATTTTAAGCATCTCTTGTTCTATCAATGGAAAAAACATGAAGCAAAAATTTGTAGTGGGTTTTGAAAAAATTTTTTTGATGAGCAATAATTTGAAGCATATACATATCTGATTTTTTAAGAACAGATTTCTTTTCAGACACAAGTCTCTGAATTCAATATTGTACTTTTGCAATGTTAACTTTTTTCAATTTTTGTAACTACAAAATTTGCAAAGAACAGAACACGTACCAATTTTTGTATTGTCCTTTGATACATACAAGGAGCAAATTTTAAGAAAAAGTTAGGAGCACTTTTTGATTAAAAAATTGTTTATAAATTTGAGGTACAAAATAATGTGACTACCAGAGAATTTGTATGCGCTTCATGATACAAAATACCTGCATAGAGGTGGTAGTAAAACATAATAGATTAATTGATATTTGTTCAATTCCTCTGTATTCTGCAAGATAAAAATTAAAAAAGTACAAACAAAAAAAAATAAATTATTAAGGATATTTGCTTTACATCAATAAATACGAGAATAGGCAACATTTACGATTTAAAAATAAAAAAGGGATTTATTAGTGAAATAGGCATTTATAGGCACTATAAAATTCACAAATAATACTCCTAATGCTTAAAAATGAGTAAGTAACCTAAAAGATTATGATTTCAATTGAAGAAAAGAATAGGTAAAGAGGTAAAAATCCGCAGCTTAATTATTAAGACTTTCTGTATTGTGACCCAGTTATGAAAGATAATTATGTAGGATATATTCGTAATTAATTGCAAATTTTAACAGCAAATTTTTTTAATATTTTTGTTACGTAAAGATTATACTAGGTTATTGTAGTATTCATGAAGGCTACTTTTGTTAAAATATTTAATTTATTGCATTTTTATACAAGATTATTTGTTGATCTTAAGAAGAATACATTCTACTTTTTGGAAAACAAATTGTGAGGTTTTGTTCAGAATCATTTTCACTAATGTAGGCCTTCAGTGTTCAATTTTTCAGTTTCCTTACACAATCAAACATTTTGTAAAGCTCTCCTTCATTTCAAAATTTATAGTTCATGACTGTTTACATTTCAAAATACATGAAAGCATTCCCACAAATCGTAATGGGAGAGATTTTGCAGAATATCATAAATAAGTTAATTTCACATACATCAGAATACCACATATAATAGAATTTGCATTTAATAATGAGTGTTAATATGTGCTGCTGGTAGAGGAATAAATTGGAAATAAACAATGAAATATTTCCAGTAAGTATTAACAATTTTCACATTTTTTGTTTCACCAAAGAAATGTGACACTTTTCCAGTATAAATGGGTCTTTAAAGTCATATGACCTTCTGTGAAATGCAACTTTTGGGTTGCCCTTGTTAATAATATAATGCATATGTTTATCAAATTTTAGAATTAAATCATAAACAAGTCCTAAATTTTTATAATCAAGCAGCTCTTCTAATTTCAAATTATCAATAGAGTAAGGTGAAGTAATTAAAATAAAAAATCATTATGAAAATTAAAGAATCTCAAAATTTTGAAATGTTTAGATAGTCTATTAGCTTTCTTCAGAAAAATATATATTGAGACAATCTTGTAATTTGTTCCAATCATTCACACATTTTATTTCATTAAGTATTTTCAAATAATAGTCAAAGAATAACAATCTATAATCAGGTACTCAATTCATTTACTAACCTAAGAAAAATAATGGCGCTAGTTGTGAACCTAGAGGAACTTTGGAAAGAACATTGTACTTGACACTGTGAATCATTTGGACGTTTTTTATCAGGCCAAGAACATGTTAACATACTCTTATAAGTACAATAAATAAAACGAAACCACTGATAGTACTATATATATATTTTTTACTCACATTCATTACTAATTTTTTTAATCAATCACATTTGTGACATCAGATTTATTTAACACTCGACACATTAACTGTGAGTTGAGCAAATCATGTAACTGTTATTGCATGGAAAAATAAACAAAATTCTGATAGGACATTCTTGGATTTAAACAAAGCGTTAAAGTTACAAGTTGACTGAACTTCACAAAAATGTAGTGACCATCTCTTTTAAGGATATTTTGTGATGTATAATATTGTTAGCTAAATATCTAATCAATGATTATCATGAAGTTTGGAAAATTTTTAACAAATAAATAAAAACAATGAAACATTTGCCTCCGAAAATGAAATAACAACTTACTAAACTTGGAATACATTATTTCCTTTTCACAGAAAACAGTTTCTACTTCAAACCTAGGTTACTGAACAAATTGTTTCATCTTCAGATAAATTCGACTTAAACAAAATTGTCATTTCGTTTCTTAAATTCACAAAGTGGATAACAACTTTTGAAGAAACCAGTCAGATCATGAAATCTTTTTAAATTTCAAAAATAATTTGGATTTAATGAAAAGTTATTTTAAATTTATTTTTTCTGCTGACAAAAGCATGTGCAAATTTACAACAGACAAATGCAGTATCATATTCTGATTTACATTATTTTAAAAAACCCATAAAAAAATATTTTTTAAATGTACAGCTTTATATAATGATTCCATAATCATGTGGTTTAGGACCAATATGTATGATTTTGATTTTTCCAAATGTAAATAATTTACTAAATACGGCTACTAAGTGTCTGTGAAACATAATATCTAAAATATAAACATCATTAATGATTGTATTTCCATGTTTCATGTCTTGTTTTAATCACAGTGGATTTTCTGTATTCTTTTTCCAATCTGAAAAACCTCCAGCATAATGTCTTGCACTGAAGAGGGTGGGAAAAATATTTCATTACATGTTTTTGGTAAAAATGTATACATTACTTTTTGAAAAAACATTATAAACTTACTTCTTATATCCTATTTCAAGTGCAGCAAGAAGAGCTTTCATACTTCGCCCACCTGCATGGCAAGAAAAAACTATAGGAGCATTTTTGTCAGGAAGTGGAATGCCGTATTGGTCCTCAAACGATTGGGATGAAGACTGTAGCGCTTCTTTAACAGTACCCACTGTAAGACGTTATAGACAAGAATACATTGTATTTATACCAGGATTAAAATAAAGTAACTCTGAAATTGAGAATGATTAGTTTACGAGGTATATTGACGCTGTTAGGAAGTACTCCATTGTCCTGAAGTTCCTTGGGTTCCCTGACATCAATCAAAATAATCTTATTGTCGCCAGTAAGTTGTAAAATATCTTGATAATTCAGATTCATTTCAGGTGTCACAGTCGTGGACATTGCTTGAGAATGAGGAGCTGTAAATAACAAAATAAACATTAATGACATCTTTTCAATGTCTTATAAAATTTCCCACTTCATTGTTAACCCAGTAAGAAAAAAATACAATACGAAGCACAAGATATAGAACTAACGCTCTCCTAATGAGCGCTTATTTTCATTAAGTAATAGTATTTTATTTGATCAAATGTGACCACCGATTATTGTACCTAAAATATTAACTTGAAAAAGTTTGATTGACGCTTGACGCTCCTTTCGTGCACACCAGTATGGGTTCTGTAACCTCTGTAACTGAGGCAATCGATAAGAAAGAGGTAAAAGAATAGATCCCATGCGTCGAATCATCTTAATAAACAATCCTCACGATTACAAGTCCCGAGGAACAACGTTTCAATTAGTAAAATGATGCACGACAACTGAGAGAGAATCTATATATTTTCTACGTACCTTCTGGTTCGAAGCGGGAAGCTTAAAATCCTTAAAATACAAATATTATACTGATCAGCTGGGAAGACCAGATTGCAAAACTGTACAATAAGAGACACAGCAAATTTCAAATTAGTCTGTCTTCACTCGCAATATCGATAAAAACATTGATGTTGTTAGTTACAATGGTGAATAGAAAAACAATTAACAGAATAAAGTGGACTATGACAATACATATTTTTCATTAAATCTTTCATTAAATTAGCATTCATTAAAAATGTAATATATGAGTTTTTAATAATTTTTAATAATTAATCGCTTTTGTGAAGCAATATACAGACACAAAAGTATAATATTTGTGTATTTTAATGATTGTTATAGCTAAGGGAGGATTTTAATGAATTGATATTTTTACTTTCTCGCACTTAGAAACGTACGGAGAGAGTATTGTAATCGTGCGCCGGAAAACGGCTCAAAAACTCTTGTTGCCGGGCCCTTGTATGGAAAAAGGGATAAATCCAGTTGCTAAATATAGAAAACAATCCTCTAACACGCGATGTAGCCAGAATCTTATCTTTAATGCGTCCTTCATACCGAAAATCGATTGACGGAAAAACGTCATCTCGTCTGTGCACAATTCTAGCACAGAGACCGTTCAGGCGATTTTCTCTCAAATTTATATTCCCCAATCGTTCTTGCTGATGTCGCGGACCCTGGTATTTGAAGCCAATATTTTAAGTTTTGGGTGTACATGAAGCTCCTAGGACATAGAGGGGAAAAAAGAGCTCCAAATTTTCTGATTAAATTTTGTTGTTCAATAGTGCAAAGGACATTTAAGATAATGATGCAGGTCTAATTTACGTTGACATCCCTGATTTTTCGAAAAATGGAAAAAGAAATAAAACTCCAAAATTGGAGATAAAGATTTTTGCCTCAAACAATGTCTGTTGTTCAAAACTAGCTCTTTAGAAAAGGTCAAGTACAATTATTTTAAAAAACGAGTAGATTTTGCATTATTTGCGATTAAAATGTGCGATTTTTATCTCGAAAACCTCTCTAATGTTTTTATTTTATTTTTTTCACTCATGTAATAAGAGACTACAAAAATATGGCGCTAGTCATATTTTCCCATATTGCTCGGTTTTTGGAAAAATTTAAAAAATTAAAACTTTAAAATTGAAGATAGTGATTTTTGCCTCAAGATAAAATCCATTGTAAAAAAAATTTAGCTCTTCAAAAAAGGTCATGAACAATTTTTTTTTAACGAGTAGTTTTGCGTAATTTCTGCTTGAAATCAAAGAAATATATACAGGTTTCGCACCAACTACGCGCCACGAAAAAAATTGATTATGAAAAATAATTAATTTTATTTTAATCATAATTTTCTATTGAAAATGCCAATATTAATTCTTTTTTTGCTTTCTCGTACTTTTACTTTACTCAATTCTACAATTAGTATTCTCAATGTATTGATATACGAGTACATAAAATTGACGGTCTGCCGTCGGTATAATGGCTTTCATCGTTCCTTCATGCCGGAGGCAAATAATTCTTAAAGTGCTGTGTTACTTAAGCCATCATTCATAAAATTATAACATTGTCCAATTTAAGGTATCATATAACTGTGGAGTGCAAGCAACACCACCCAGAAAATGTATATCTAGGTGATAGTATACACAGATGATTAATTATTTATTAATTAATTTAATTAATAAGATGGTAATTACTTATTAATTGATTAATTCCAGAAGTAATATACAGGTGAATAATTTGGAATATTTATTAATTTAAGCGTTTTCAGGGCCTAGAGACCATTCTAATTTCTAAGATATAAGAGATTTATCTTGATGGATACGCGCGCGGTGTTGCCGACTTTTATTTTTCTTTTAATTATAATATACAAAACAAATCGACTATTATATCAGTTGTTAATGTTTATTGATTGTGTATTTAGATGGTATTTTCTGTTCGTATCTTTTAATTAGAGACAATGATTGGATAGACTGAATCAGAAACACGTGATTTGAAAATGTATACATGATCATTCCAAGTCAAATCGCACAAACGTAAGGAAAATTTGACCTTTATATCCCAGATTTTAAAATTTTTTTCTGTGAAGAGTATAAGCAAAATTATGACACACGTGTTTTTCATTTTTATTTTCAAAAATAATTTTTCGAGATTATATTGTTTTCAAAATTTTCGAAAAAATGCTCGCTTCGCTAAAGTTAATCATTTTTTACTTCTGTTGCAATTGTGAAATTTAATATTTTGCTACACTGAAGAACAAAAAAAATGCTTTTTATTTGATGTATGTATTGAATTCATAAAAAAAATTTTGTAAACAATTTGTGACCTACTTTTTTTTAATTTGTTCCAAAACTCGACAGTTAAAAAAATTGCAAAAATACCATTAAAATCTCTGAAAAGTTCTACATAAGTTTGGCAAATTTCAAAGTGTAACATTTAGATGATTCTGAGAAATAAAACACAATATAAATGTTTACTCGCTGTATTTCTGCGGCGTCTGCTACTCGAAGAGCGACACCCCTCAACAACGTGCCAATCACCAGTAGAATGTACCATCAATATACTTTCACAGAGCAATAAATAGAAGTATCGCTTCACATTTTAGTATGTGCCATTAGCATACATATGATCTTCATAACCGATTAAATTCAAATTAAAAAAGGTCAAACATTCAATTTAATATTAAACGGAGGGAATATTTATATGAATAAGAGTATGTTTATTACGTTGATATTTCTTTTACTTCACTTTGCAGAGAATATCGTTAGTTTACCTTTTCATAAGAAATGAAACTACGTATTTTCTTTGTACCTTCTACTTTTATTTATTATATCATTAAAATGGACCTCTTTCTAAGTATTGTTCCGCGTTGCTAAACATATTAAGGTAATGTTCTTCACACTGTCACCAGCCCACTAAATTAAACAATAATAACACAACACAACTTCCTTGGTAATAAAAATATATAAATAATCAAAAATAACACAACTTCCTTGGTAAATTAATAGATTATTGTCAGGAATTCCTTAAGGCTAGCTTTTATTAAGAATATAACAAACACAATTACACATTTTTTTTCATTTTTCGTTTATTTCGACTAATGCGTCATTTTTACTTTCTCAGAGTCAAAAGAAAGTTAAGTAATGCTGCGCGAAAAAACGCGCTTTTTTCGGCAGAAAAATTTATTACAGGTCCCTGGAAACGAAATATTTCTTTCTTTCATTTTCTTTCTTTCTTTCTTTCTTTCTTTCTTTCTTTCTTTCTTTCTTTCTTTCTTTCTTTCTTTCTTTTCTTCAAAATGTCCGTCCATCTCTTTCTCCGTCCATCAGTCTGTGAACACCACTAGCGTCTGAACCATTATTACGATTTTTTTCAAAATGGATATTCCCCGATCAGCCTGGCTCCACTCGAGAAGCGGCGAGTTTGAAAAACATTCATTAATTTTGGGGAGCGGGTACTTTACATGAAGTCCTCCGGACATTTTCAAAATGTTCTCAAAATCGGCTCCAATTTAAAAAAATATTGTAAAAATAGAGTATTGGACCAATACCACTTATAAAGGTGGTATGAGTCCATTTTTTAACGATTATCTCTGAATTTTTGAAAATTGCAAAAGTTGGAATTTTTCTCGCGTCTTCCTACAACGACAAAATTAAAGATAGAGCATTTTCCTTCATACAAAATTTGTTGTTCATAGTAAGTTCTTTCATTAAGGTGATGTACAGTTTGTCGAAAATTTTAGTAGTTTTTGTGCAATATAGCGTGCAATATGTGTAATTAAAAAACCCACAAAAAACAAGATCTTCTCAACGGCTCCAAGTTTTCTCTTTAAGCTTTTCGTATGGATAGTGCTAAATGCACTCTATAAGATGGCATAAACGCCATTTTGCTCTATTCCTTTGTTTTTTCAAAAATTACAAAAACGAAATTATTTTGACCAGTCTCTCGTCATTAATATTTATATTAGCGGTGAATTGTTCACATTATACTTCTCGTTTCAATACTTCCAGATTTTAAATTTAAAAAAAACTGAAGATTATTCTCTGTGGGAATTCTCTCGCATGCTTTCTAGGATTCTAATAACTGTGCCGCCGCTTCCGACCAGCACAGGAGAGTACGCAGAATCGAATGAGGCGAGAGCGAAACTCCCAGCAAAGGTTTTAGAATTTATTTTTCAGCCGGTCGAGGAGCCGCCGTCAATATCACACGATTTCGAAGTGCAACAAATGGTAATGACGGCACTACACCCACCTACCGACGAGCTGAGTTTCACTACAGAAACAGAAGTTACAGCGGACATCACGGAGCTAAAAGCTAAAAAAGCTCGCGGTCCCGACGGCATCTCTAACGGAGTCTTAAGAAGCTGCCGCAGCTACTTAGTCGCTTTGTTTAATGCTATAATTATGTTTCAGCACTTTTCGAGTCAGTGCACGGTAACATGCGTATGTGCAGGGGAAAACCCGAAATTGCCTGAGTCGTACAGGTCCATAAGTCAACTAAACACGCTCGGAAAACTATGTGAAAAACTTATTCAAAACAGAATTCTTAAATTTGTTTTAGATAATTCACTTATAAATAAGCAGTTTGGATTTCGCGCGGGTCATAGCACAACGCATCAGCTTGTGCAAATCGCAGACCGCATAAGACGCATCTTCGAGGACCGATTTACAGGTGGAGTGTTCTTCGACGTTGCCACCGTCTTTGACAAGGTTTGGCACGTCGGTCTCCTTTACAAACTTCAACCCATGAACTTTCCTTTGTATCTTGTGCACCTTTTCCACTCTTACGTAGCAAACAACGTTTCAAGTCTCTAAATGCTTCTAAATGCTAAATCTACCCGCCGCGCCGTACGGGCCGGAGTGCCACAAGGGAGCGTGATTGCTCCTACGCTCTTCCGCCTCTACGTACGTGCTATTCTCATGCACCCACACACGGAACACGCCTTGTACGCCGACGATACGGCTGTAATAGCCACGTCGAAAAATATCGAGCTTTTGCAGAAGTACTTGAATCAGCATTTACTTCAGATTCAGGAGTGGTTGAAGTTGTGGCGGGTCAAAGTCAATGGAAGTGTAGCTGTATGTACTCTTCACACGAAGACGGCGATTCACACAGCCGAAGCCCCTCATGCAATGCGGAGACGCGATTAATTGGGCAAAACATGTAAAATATTTAGATGGCACATAAGAGAGCCCACTTACTTTTAATCCGCTCATGGAAAACTTGCGGAAGCGCGGCAGACCAGAGGAAGATTGTGAAGCTTGTGTCACAAGCGGAGCAAACTGTCAACGGCAAACTGCTTCACACTTTACAAAGCAATTATTACGCCGCAGGTGGACTACGTATGCTCCATATGCTACGTATGGACAATTGAAGCAAATACACGTTCGAAAAAATTGCAAGTAGTTAAAAATGAGTGCTTCAGGGCCGCCCTCTGAGCCCCTAGGTACATTTCTATTAAGGATTTACATCGCGATTTATCAATGCCACTGCTGATTGATCATATCAAACATTTTGTGTCTAAATTTTTTGATAAAGCAGTTGACTCGGAAAACACTAATTTCCTTGAGCGCCTCATACCAACCCGGTCGACGGGTGAAGTATAGGCGACCGAAGCACTTCCCGGAGTAAGAGTAATCTGAAACAGAGAAATGAGACTTGAAACATTAACTTAGTATTTCTACACACGTAATGGGGGCGCCAGTTGGCTCAAGTCATTTTTGGCCCTCTGTTTTTCGTTGTTGCAGGATTGACCATAAATGCCCGTAAGAGTAGAAATGGTTGCATCGTAGTGGCGTGAACGATATATACTCTCTGGCGTGAACGTGCATTGCACTTTCCGGGCAATTACAAAACTGCACAAAGCGGGCACAGCTATCATTTAATTTCATGTTATAATACTCTCTGGTCTAGTCTTCGTGACTGACTTACGTGACGTGACGCGGTCAAGGTCACCTTATGGTTTCTGTGACACGTCAGTTTGTGGTTGTTGTGTAGGCGCACGTTTTATCAGCTTCCTTGTAGGTGGCTTTCGAAGATCTTGCAAGTGCTGAGTTTGAACGTTGAGTTTACCTTTAGTTAACATTTTTATTAAATTTTACATACAGTATGAAGTGCTAGCTCATTTTATCCGTATGTGTATTGGATCGAATTCACCGTATCGTAATTTGTGGTGTAAGAAATGGAATTGAGAGGTGTTGTTCAAACATATGCGTGGGGAAAGACGGGGAAAACGAGTAAGGTTGCATTATTACATGCCGCTAATATACCGGAGTTTGTCATTGACGATAAAATTCCTTATGCTGAGTTGTGGATGGGAACTCATTGTAACGGACCATCTACATTAAAGAAAACTGGACAAAAGCTTGAAGATTGGATTAACGAGAACAAAAATTCGCTTGGAAATGAAGTAATTACTCAGTTTGGTGAAGCATTGCCTTACTTATTTAAGGTTTTATCCGTGAACAAAGCTCTGTCAATTCAGGCACATCCCACAAAGGTGAATCAAGATCTTATGATTATGAAGATATATATTTTCTTGATGACTAGAGATAGTTCTAGAAAACAAACATTGGCTTCTTACAGACTCATGCTGAGCAGCTTCACAAATTATACCCTGACATCTACAAAGATCCTAACCATAAACCTGAACTAGCAATTGCCTTAACTCAATTTGAAGCTTTGTGTGGATTTCGCCCTATTGCTGAAATCAAAGGATATGTTGCAGGTAATCCATAAAGAATATATTTTAGGATCTTTTATTCAGCTACAAATAGAGAGTCCAACCTAAAGTGTAGTTAAACTCACATTTGTAAATACATTTTAAACTAAACATTTCTTGTTAGTGTAAGAGCAGTAGCTTGGCAATGAATAATTATCTTGTCCTTGTGCAATTATGAAAAAAAGGTTTGTCAGGAAGATAAAGAAAATTGTCGTTAGAAAAATGTATTAAAATATTTGTGTATGTGAATAATTAAAATTAAACTTTTAAGAATTGGAAGATACTATTTCCTTGTCTTTAATGGAAAAGAATCATAAATTGCAAAAGAAGAAATTTATGTTGTTTTCCCATGCACATTACTGTTTTTTTGTTTTTCTCTTTGAAGAAATAATCATTTAGTGAACAACGTTTCAGACATACCTGAGCTTCGGAGGGTGATTGGGGAAGATTTGGTCTCAAGATTTTTGAAGACCAAAGAACCTGAAGATGAGAAACAACTGCTGAAAAGCTGTTTCCAATGTTTGATGACTTGTTCCAAAGATGTAGTGGTTGAACAATTGACATTACTAGTAAACAAGATAAAAGCAGGTAATAATTTATTATAGAGTATAAGTATTTTTTTCTCAAAGTTCTGATTTACATTTGTTTAATTTATGAGATGTAAATTATGAGGAAAGATAAAGAAAGGAACAAAAGAAGTGAGAGGCAAGAATAATGAATTATTTAAATCAGGGAAATCTATCGCATTTTTTATTTTTTTTGTGCTTTTTTTTCTTTTATGATGTCTCATTAAAGATCAACTTAATATTATTTTCACAGAAGGCGATGCATCAAGATTGAATCAGTTACTGACAACATTACATTTAGATTTTCCTGGTGATGTTGGATGTTTCTGTATATATTTTTTGAACCATGTTATTTTAAATCCTGGAGAAAGCATATATTTGGGACCAAATGTCCCTCATGCATACTTGTCAGGTGGTTAGTACAACATTATATTTTACTTAACTAGAAATTTATATTAGAATGAATGAATTACCAAATATAGTGAAAATGTTGATGATAAATGCTGAACAGTTGCCTAGCAAAAGAGAGCATAAGCTTCCATCGCCAGAGTCAATACTTTGCTGTCCGGTAGTTGCAGTGTTCTAGTCACAATTGTCCTTAGGCAACTGTGCCTAGTAAGTGGCAACTCCTGGTCAGCCAAGTAGCCAGCTCCCTGGGAGATCAAAAATTAAGGGATAATTCTGATTTGTCAAGTTTGTTGTTCCAAACTGAAAAATTATATGAAGATGGCACATTCAAGTAAATAATTTGTACTGGAATATGTTAAGCAAATTTGTAACAGAAAATTTAAGTGACAGGAAAATATTGGATATGAATTAATAAAGTGGTAAATAACACAATTAAATTTTTTTGTAAAACATTATCAAATGGGCAGAAAATTAGAAATTTCTTTTAATTTTTCCTAAATGTCTGAAATTAAATCTGAAAAGTAGAAATACAATTGAAGAAATTCTCTCTGAACAAGAATTTCATAATTAAAAATATTAATAACAGCTATTATTTTCTAGATTGTATAGAGTGTATGGCATGCTCTGATAATGTGGTTCGTGCTGGTCTCACACCAAAGTTCAGAGACGTTAACACATTATGTGAAATGCTTGAATACTGTGGAATGCCTGCATCGTCAGCAAAATTTCAACCTGTTGTTGAGGATTGTTATACTTCATTGTACAAACCACCAATCCCGGATTTTGCTGTTGCCAGAATAAGGGTATGATCATGTAGTGTATTTATCATTTCTATTGAGAAATGAATAATTATTTTGATGAGCAAATGTTAATTTTTCCACAGATACCTCAGGAGGTTACAGAATACACAACCAAACCTCGCAATTCAGCAAGTATTCTTCTGGTGGTAGAGGGACATGGGAATTGTGGTGCAGCTGAATTGAATCCTGGTTCAATTGTATTTCTTTCTTCAAAAGAGCAGCTCACAATAAATAGTAAAACGAAATTAAGCATTTATCAGGCTTGTGCAAATGTATAAGTGTTATGAACAAATTGTGACAAGGTTTTTCTAAACTATGAAAAAATATTGCAAAATGCAAACAAATGGGACATAGGTATTAATATAAGTGGTTGTTCACAAACTTTTTTGAATTATTTACAAGAGAAATGTTAAAAAGAATAAATTAAAATGTGTAAGAGCATAATAAAAAATGCTGTTATTATTTCATTTGAAATTTCTTGTCTTTTTCAATAGGAATGAAGTACTGGATTGACAAATTCTGGACAGTCTACATGCAGAACAATGGAAGAAGATCTCTATAGTATTTTACATAATATCCATTTCAATTTGTTGTGAACTTTCCTAGCACACTGAATGTATTAATTCAAGCAATTCCTTCTTACATAGGCATGTCAAATAGTATAATTTGATATGTAAGATCAGAATCCAAATGAGACATACAAAGCCAAAATTACTGAATCCAGAAATGTGATCTTTGGAACATAGGTTTCTATTTCAACATATTTTACCTCTAGGAAAGGATTTTTCAAAATTCTTCCTAGGTGTTTCCCCGGGGTAAAATAGGACTTTTTTTATTTAACCCTTTGTCTTCGTTTCTCAAATACTTTTGGGGTCTTTTTTGACCCCAAATGTTTTACACAATAATTAACAATTATTTCATGAAGGAATGTTATTTGGAATTATTAATTGAAAAAACCATGCTATTTATTTGCTATATTGACTATATTACATGAAATAACTAAGAATAATGGTATTTCCAAAAATAAAATTCCAGCATATCTTCATTGTTATACTTAGGCATCTATCTTACAAGCCTGAGAATGTTTGAAACAGGGCTACCATTTCTAATACACAAATACACCAAATTATCACTCAGGAACCACTACATAATGTTAAGAAATGGCAGTGGACATGTTTTTAGAATTTTTCTTGTAATTTAATGTCAAATGTGGCAGTTTTGACTCCAACTGTATAAAAATCAAATTATTCCCTACAAAGAAACTAACTAAGAAAACTAAAAAGATTACAACATATGTAAAACAATGTAAATTCCATATCTCAAAGGAAAAGTTCATGTGAATAATTTTCATAATGTTGTGAAACATTTGTTCAGGAGGTTAAAAATGACCCCAAACAAGAGTCTACGGATTAATGCAATATGCAATGCAACTAGGCATTAAAAATTTTCTTGCAGTGCTGCAAGTATGAATATAAAATTACTTCAATTACTTCCATTTTACAATATATAGAATTCATTCCTTTTCTATCAAACAGATGACTTTGATTAACATAAGGTTGTTTAATAAATGGGGGATCATTTTATTATGATTGAGTTGTTTATTGCACTGCCTTATTTAAACCAAGTACAATATTAGTTGTGGAATTTTAAACCAAGAAATGTATTTCTTTATTCAAGAAATCTGGGACCTGGGGAAGTAGGTCCATGGGGCTATTCATTTCAAACAAAATATACCCTCTTCCCCAATTCATACACAGTTCATTTCTCCATTCATCAGAAATAACTTACATCATTAAATTTGGATTAGATATTGATACAATTTGTATTTCTTTTGAATGAAGATAAAAAATCATTGAGGCCCGGGGCAAGTTACCATAGTTTTCCCCCCATATGTGTTTCACTTGAAAATTACCATTTATTGGTTCATCAAACATTTAGGATTGAGACCAGTTGTAATAATGAAACTTAGTGAGAACTTATGAAAATGAATTAGTGCTTAATATTACACCAGTAATGTGTAGGTAACTATGCAAATTTCAAAAATTACATTCTGAGCACAGCAATGTAATGTTTTAAACTTACCAAAGTCAATGTAGGTCAGCATTTAAAATCCTGGAAGGTTCTTCAGAAACAAAGATTATTGTCTTCTGTTTAGAATGTGAGAGAAAATAATCAAGAAATAGCTTGTGAAGGGCTGATTCCACAGGGGTGGGTTCCACAAGTAATTCCCAATAACACAAACAGAAATCACAAGCTCATGTGCACTTAACAGCGTTTTATAAATATTGTATTGTGATTTAAAAATAAATAGTTTATAAAATATGTCTTGCAAGTACAAAAAATTATGTCCATCATACTTTTTTGTTTGTATTAGTATAATAAAAAAGATTTACTGTTGGAAGAGGAAAGCATACAAGGCTTATGTGTTTCTAATGAAGGAACATCTCTTACACAATGTGCACAAAGCACTATCTGCTTACCAACTCAAAAGGTTGGCAATATTTTTACTTTGCTTAAAAAAATATAATTTGAAATGCATTCTTTAAAAATTCACATATAATGGTTAAATTTCTGTTTGAAAATTGCACTAATACAATAACTGAACTTTTCACAGTGAATAGCAATAACAGTACATACTATTTTATTACAAACATCTGAATGTGCTAGTGTTTTTCCTTTTTTTCTGAAAGTCCTTTGTTTTTTTCCCAATCTAAATAACCTCCTGCATAGTGTTTTGCACTGAAAAATAAAAATAAATTTAGTTAATTGAGTTCAGTACCTACAATAATCAAAGCAAATTGATTGCTTGAGAAAACTTACTTCTTGAACCCTAATTCCAGAGCTGTGAGAAGTGCTTTCATACTTCGATTTCCAGAACGACATGTGAACACTAGAGGTGCATTTTTATCTGGAAGTGGAATGCCATATTTTTTCTGAAATTCTTCAGAAGAAAGGGATTCCAATGTTGTCTTCAGGTTATTTACTACATACAAATGAAAGGGTAAATATTCACAAAACATCCTTGTACAACATAAATGTAGGAAACGTTTATTTAGTATTGTCAATAACTTACAAGGAATATTAATACTTGTGGGCAGAACACCTGTTTCTTGTAGTTCATTGGGTTGCCTCACATCAATCAATATAATGCTCTTTTCGTCAGTCAGACGTACTATATCTTCATAATTTAGAAGCATATCTGGTGTAACCGATTGAGTCATGACTTGTGAAAAATACGCTGGAAAAAACGCAAAAATTATTCTCCACAGAAGGTTCTCCATTTGCGTTCCGATGCGTTGTTACCACGGGCAGCCAGCTGTTTGTCCGTTTTTTGTTTTCGTTTTTTCACGAGATCGTGAGAACCACATTTCCCAGAAACCAGTTGAGGCAACCACACGATGCTGCCAAATTGAGAGTAACAACATTTCTCCGGGATTATGCGAATACAAGATTTGGGGTTGCCTAATAAGAAATGGCATAGCATTAGGTAACATTACGTTTTTGCTCATTTCTGGTGTAAAATACATTCATCTCTACAAAACACGGAGTTCGCTCAAATTTTATAAGAACGATAGCTAAGGTTAAAACAGTCGCCCATTCCATGAACATTTGTACCTGTCAGCGATATAGATCATTTGCATGGCCATTGTGTCTACTGAAGCGTCGTTTCAAACAGCCCGCCAAGGATATAAACGTTTCAATTTACACCGTGATTTCAATATATTAGTACAATTAATTAAAACGCACAAAGCGTCAAAATAATCCTACCCTACCTTAAAGAGAGGGCTTGGTTCAATGCATGGGACTTAAAAATAAGTGATGTGCAATTACTTTGTAATGAAATCGCGATTAATCTAAGGAAAATATGTCTTTATAATACTTTCTTCCTGGAAGAAAAATATTCTCGATTCGAAAAAATAATAAAATTATTTTAAAAAATCGGTTCTGAGATTCTTCATTTCTCTTTCAGTGTTTTAAAAAAAATATTTTAAATTAAATTGCTTAAAAGTAACCTGTAGATGGAGTATTCCAGAAAGTGCGATTTTCAACGCCACTAGTTTAATGTTTTAATGGTTTTAGTGGATTAAAATCGTGTAAAAACATGTTTTTACTTTCTCACTATTTCTTACATGTTATAGAAAAAGTATTGAAATGCTTTGGAGAAACAGCGAATTTTCGACACAAAAATTCGTATTGCCGGGCTTTGGTAATGAAAAAGTAGGTAAATCTTGCCGCTATATACAGGTTCGAAGGAAAGAATGCAACCGAAACATTCCAGATGTTTCAAGAGGCATTCAAGGGTGATTGAATTTCAAGGCCATGGTCCGGGAGGTGGCATAAGGCGCTCTAGGAGGGGTGAACTCCTTTCTGGACGCCCAACAACGGCCAGATCCGACGAAAACGTGGATCGTGTTCGCGGTTTTTGCGTTACGACCGTCCATTCAGCATACATCAGATCCCTGACACCCTGCACATGCCTACATGTGCGAAATATGGAATAGTAACCGAGGACCTGCTAATGCGCAAGGTCTGCGCGAAGTTTCTTTCGAAAGAACTTCTCGAGAAAGTTTCTCCCTGTCAAGAATTTTTGGATTTGATTCAAAATCATCCGGACTTTCTTAACTCTGTGTTAACCTGGATCCTGGATGTTCGAGTACGATCCTGAATGGAGAAGGCAGAACAGCGAGTGGCACACAGAATCACCCCCGCCCCAAGATGGCGCGAATGAGCAAGCCTCGCACCAAAATGATGCTAATTGTCTCCTTCTGATCTTTCTCTTGTCTGCCATCCCCAGTTCAGTCCCAAAGTGCGACTTTTCTTTTTTGTTTCCCTGACTGAAGAGTGAGCTGAAACGAAAGCATTGGAAGGCCGTGGAAATCATCCGAAAAGTATGTTGCAATGTTCCTGAGAGGCATTTCCGTCAAAGACTTTTAGGCTGCCTTCCAGGCGTGGCAGAAACGGCTGCAGGGGTATTAATGCATGAGGAGAGTATTTTGAAGAACTTTTAGTATTTGTGCAGGTCCAATCAATTAATCTATTTTCCCCAGAAATGCGCCTTACTTTTATAATGGACCGTGTATACAGTAAATAACTTCCTCTAACTGGTTGGGTAGTCAGTATCTATGTTTTGTGGGTCCTTGATATTTAGACACGTTAATTAAAAAAAGTAAAAATTAAGTTTAAAAAATATTTAATTATTTGACGTATTTTGCTTTCTCTCCCTTATTTCGTAAGAAAAGAAAGTATTGTAATCGTGCACCAGAAAACGGCGGGCAGGCACTAGTAACGAAAAAGTGGATAATTTTCGTTCTTAAATACAGTAAATTAGTTCCTCTACCTCATTGTGTAGTCAGAATCCATGTTTTGTGGGTCTTTGATCCCGAAAATCGATTGGTGGCAAAACGTCTGTCTGTCCGTCTGTATGTGTTCAACGCTAGCGCCTAATCAGTTCGGCCGATTTTCTCCAAAATTGATTTTCCCCATCGATTTAAATGAATTCCAGGCATTCTGAGATTGAAATGGATATTTTTTTGGGGGGGAGGTACTTTATATAAAGCATTAACCACAGCTTCAAAATTGTCTCAAACGTGGCTCGACATTTTTTACACACTCTCTTCTGATAGCTTAAAGGACGCTTAAGAGAATGGCGCTGATCTCTTGTACATTGAAATAATTGACTTTTCGAAAATTGTTTCAGTTCATATTTTTTTTCGGTGTCTTCCTACAACTAAAATATTAAAGACTGAGATTTTTCTTAATTAAACCAGTTCTTTAAAGACAGGTCTTGAAATAAGGCCATATACAAGATTTCAAAAATATGATTAGTTTTTGCGCAATTTTTTGAGAAATATATGCAATTTAATGAAAAAATATACTAATTATTTACTCAGAAACGTCTCCAATTTTTTTCTTTATTTTTTTACGTATGTAGCAAATCATGTTGAAGAAAGTGGGGCTTCTTCCATTTTCGTTACTGCTTGTATTTTAGAAAATTGGAAAAAGGTTCGAAATGGTAAATTTCAATTTCCTGCGATTTGTTTGAGGTGGTGTAAATATATAAAAAGGCCGTCGCGTCTCATAGCGCCAATATATAATAAGCTTTTTGTTGCATGATTACATAACTTTCTCTTCTTACGAAGTACCTTCTTCATCAATACACTTGCAACCAATCGATTTTCGGGATCAAGGACCCACAAAACATGGATTCTGACTATACAATGAGATAGAGGAACTAATTTACTATATTTAAGAACGAAATTTATCCACTTTTTCGTTACTAGTGCCTGCCCGCCGTTTTCTGGTGCACGATTACAATACTTTCTTTTCTTACGAACTAAGGGAGAGAAAGCAAAAGATATCAAATAATTAAATATTTTTAAACTTAATTTATACTTTTTTAATTAACGTGTCTAAATATCAAGGACCCACAAAACATAGATAGACTTTCCAACCAGGTAGAAGAAGTTGTGTATACATGGCCCATTATAAAAGTAAGGCGCATTTTGGGGGAAAATAGATTTATTGATTGGACCTGTACAAATGCTGAAAGTTCTTCAAAATACTCTCCTCATGCATCAATACACTTGCAGCATATTTCAATATTATGTAACAATTTCCAGTAGTGCGAGAAAGTATATGCTGTTGCAGCAGTTCTAGGATATTTTTTTCGGATAAAACAAAGAGCGTTTAAGAATGTCGCACGTTTTTATTATGATGAACTCTAAATTTCTGCGCAATTATTTCAAAAATTTTTGCGTAATTTTAGATAGAACATAGGCACGTTTAAAACCATTTTAAACAATTTTCTCAAAAACGGCTTCAAATTTTTGTATTTCATTTTTATCCCCGTTTGTAGCAAAGAACTGTAAAGATAGTTGTGATCGTTCTATTTTCGGCGCACACTACATTTCCAAAAATTGCAACAAAAAAATAATTTAAAAAATTAAAAATCTGTGTTACATTATTTCTGTGCCTTAATGTGTATTTGTGTTCAAAATCACGAAATTTACTTTTCGCAAATAATTGTAAAACTATTCGTGTATAGTGCATATACGATCTTCGCACTTATTTACGAATTAATAATACGCAGATGTATTATTTCGTGTACGAAGGGCGTATACGGAAAAAATAGCATAAATCTTTAAAATGTTTTGTAGTCTTAAATTTCGGGCCAGAGTAAATAAATATTTTTTAGATTACTTTTAATTATTTATAATATAATTTTACTATTGAACAAAGGATTGCCTCTTTGACGAATGTTTTTCGAGAATTTAGTAACGTAAGTATCGTAAACGTAACTTGAGAGACGAATTTTAATGTCGATAAAGCAAAAATGTATTTCAATTCTGGACGTTGCTCTTTTTACATCAACAATCTTATTAAATAAACGTTTACGAACCTAAAACAAGGACAATGGACTTAAAATGCGTATTTATTTGGACTTAAAAGTAATTTTTCAAACATTCAAATTTTAAATTAAATGACTCAATTGGTGACCCCTGTACGGTATCGTCCCGGGCGGACGGATCCGCTGTTCCCATCAATTTCAAGTCTTTTCAATATATATATTCGTACGATAAAACAACGTTTTCAAATTACTTGAACACATGATTAACTGCCTTTCTTGATATGTTTTTTTGATTCTTCTAAAGTCCATTATGCCTCAGAACAAATGAATGGACGTTACGAGAATCATAAAACACAAAATCTGCATTACAAAGTTACTCGTAAAATAGATGTATGATTGTCCGAAAATATTTATTTTATTTATTTAGTACATACACCATCTTCTGACATCATTTTGGTGCGTTGCAGATCGTGCCTCAGTATAATCTGGTAATAAGAGGCAAATTTATTACTATTCAATTTTTGAAGTTAGGTTTGTATAAATGTATTGTTCTGGTAGGCGTGTTGCGAATCTTACACTTACCTACACCTAGATATGTTTTGACTACCAAAGATTATGTTACCGTCCCTCCACTAAAAAACACCTCATTTCTGGATTCCTGAAGTTCTTCGGCCTTATTAAAGTCTTACGTATTTATTAAGCTAGGATAATTCTACTTACATGTATTATAGCAAATAGAAGCAAACGGAGAAACTATGATAGTTTCTGAGTTCTTCACAATCGCCGGTGTTTGGCAGACTGTCCACAGGCACGCACATGAAGATGTACTCTTACCTTCTGAGGTAGCCTTGATCCTTCGAGCCCAGAAAATTAACGCCTTCCGAGTAGCGAAATGCTTGCTACATAAAACGGGCTGCTCATTGTGACGCAGCGCAACGCTGTCGTGTAGCGGTACTATCTCGGTCTCTCCGACAAGCAACCGTGGTGGGAGGGCAGGACTCCTCGAAGCGGCTTCGTGGGGCAAGCTACTAGTGTGCTAGTATACAATAGTAACAACAGAATTTATTCACTT